AATAAAGACAGACACATGTTTAAGTCTCGCTTAAAGCTAAAATAACGTTGGTGCAGCCAAGGTCTAAATAAAAAAATCTTACACATCGACCAAAATAATTGGCGCAATCAGGCCTTAGTCGTAAACTCGTTAATCGTTTGCAATGTTTCTTTCGTTACTCTACGTATGATTTTGAAATTCAGGTATTCATCAGTAATATCCTAAAAGTGACGCAATACCTTGGTATCCCTTATGCGCAACCCCCGCTTGAGAATCTTCGCTTTGCGCGACCGGTGACAAATCCTCTTCCCTCTTGGAACGACGTGAGAAATGCAACGCAGTTCGCGCCATCATGCCAGCAAGCTTCGGGTCAACTTAAGTTACATGAAAAACTCTACAAACAATTGTTACCACTAGATGTACCCGATCCGGGATTCAGTGAGGATTGCCTCTTCTTAAATATTTTTGTTCCGAGTGAAGGTATGTGTTCAACATGTATATCGTGTTTATGTAAAACCAAAGAGTTGAAGTTAAATTGTAATCCAAAATTCAATAGCTGTCCAGATAGGAAGGACTTCTTTCTACATTATTTTTAAATCGATTTCTCTTAAATATATATTAGTCTTGCACACTCCTTTTTTGCATCCTTTTTTACATACTTGGGACGCTGAAACCCCACCCACGTTTGTATCGTAACTTCCGTAAAAATGGACATATTTCAATTAATTCTTTTTCAATCGATAGAAAATTGATTAAGGAACAGGCCCATAATGTTTAAAAGTCGATAGATTTAAAGAGCTTCGAGATATACAAGCTCAAAGAAAGAGAAAAGCATGAAAAACATGAAAGACTCTCGATTAAAAAATTGCGCTGAGCTCCCGGGAATCCCAGCGTGTAATTCTAGGGTTAAATATATAATTATATTTATATTAAGTATATTATTATATAATTTACACATATAATTTATTAAAAATATTATTTTTGTTTTTTGGACGCTAATTTTTTACTTTCTGAAAAGAAAATAAAAAATTTTTCTACTTTCTTCTACTTTGTACTTTTCTACTCTTTTTTACTTTCTTTTTAATGAAAGTAAAAAATTCAGAGGAAACTAAAGGATCGCTCAAGGATGTTATTTTTGTTTACTTTCAATCACGATTTTCATGATGTAAAAATTTTTTGTGATAAAAATCTCCGCAGAGAGAGAGAGAGAGAGAGAGAGAGAGAGAGAGAGAGAGAGAGAGAGAGAGAGAGAGAGAGAGAGAGAGAGAGAGAGAGAGAGAGAGAGAG